TGTTTGACTGTCTGAAAAATTAGTTAAATAATTTCAACAGAATAACTCATAATAGTTTTTCTGTTAATCTTTTGTTCATGTGAATGTACCGCATAACAGTTTAACCTAAGCATTCATAACTGACACCTGAATGTTCACTTTAAAATGAGTTCGCTGCAATTTAATTGGTTTGAAGAAAAAGGACTCAAAGTCCATCTGAAGCCTGTACTTGGTGCTGTCAATCTAAACACTTAATGCTGCAAATGAAGCATGTATAAAAAACTTTAATGATTAGGTTCATAGCAAGGTTTACTTGAATATCTTTTAACACCTAATAATTGCAATATGTACTGTAAACAGTAAACTTTTCTTAAAGAATTTTTAAGAAGATCTGATTATTGGATTTATTTAATGTGTGTGTCCTTGTATGGTTTATGAGGACACAAATGTGCATTATGACATGGGTATTACAATCTAAACGTGGTTTACGAGGATACTTTCTCAAACCAAATGGCTTAAAAAAAAACATACTTAACTATGTTTTGTTTTTAATTAAAAAAATGCCAAAAAAATTCTGCGATGGGTAGGTAACTACAAGTGTGTGTGGGGGTGGGGATATTCCCATAATGTAATAACCCTACATTATGGGAATAAAATTTCCCCAAAGATGGCAATATCTGAAATCGTTGCTCTTGTGGGAACATTTTTTGATATTATACATCATACCAATTAATTATTATTATTTTATTAGAAAGTTTTCTGTGATTTGTAGACTTATTGTAGGTTAAGGGGATAGAATATACAGTTTTTACAATATAAAAATCTTGTTGTCTATGGAATGTTCCCATAACACACGAAAACACGACGTGTTTTGGGGTATTTGAGAGAAAAACATACACAGGCACAGTGTGTGTGTGTGTGTGTGTGTGTGTGTGTTTTTAAACCATAGCAACAAATCAACAGGCTTGTGCAAGACATAAAGTCAGTTCTGTTAACTAACAACTTGGTAGACAAACGGAAGGCAGATAAAAACATGTTAACGGTTCACAACAAAACTGCAGGCATGACAATTATTCAAATACAAATTTTTTTTTGGACAAAATTTGACAAAAAACAAATTCACTTATCATTTACACTTTCATAGTACATTCACTGAATGTATAAGCTTTACCACATTAAAATATATCAAACATTAACTCATGCACGAAATATAGACTTTATCAGGGGCACTGAACTCTTGGAAAATCTGAATTATATTAAAATATTCTATATGCTAACTAGAATGAGGTCTCATGTTGGCCCCATGTGTATTATTAATTGTATTATTATTAATTAATATATATTTGTATTATTCATATTTATTTTTTTATCAGCTGTATAACACTATATATTTTATTTTGTTTGCACTTTGCACATACCCAATATTAAAATATATAATTAGCTAACAATACCAATACTAACACTGTTAACAATAGCAATGAAGATAATAACAATACCAAAAATGACTTATAAGTGTTACTGTTTGAAAGTGCGATGTGTAGCATAATTAAGTCACTTTTCTAATAGCTTGGATCCAGTCCATCCTCTCCTCGTGTGTTGGAGACTGGATGTAATAGTGTGTCTCCATCTGAGTGATGATTTTAAAGAGGTTCCCCTGGACTTTACCTTTAACACCTGCAGATTACAAGAAAGTGGCCATTAGTTTCTGTGTTTACAGTATTTATCTGTAAATATTGCTGCTACCAAGACAACAAGACCTGAATCACTGTTTAGTATTTTTAGTCAGTGGCATTAGTTAAGTCTTTACTTAATTCTAATTAATATGTGTGATTACTTTGTAAATATTCATTTGTGGGATCAGGCAATCATCACACCTTAGAGACTTTCATAGAAGAGGCAAAAGTCTGACTCACCTGACGGTGTGCCGTTATCATCGAGGGCAGACACCAGACAGCCACGCAGAGATATACCGCCAACCGGAGTGATGTCATCCTGAGAAAGGTGGCCATCAGGAAGTAAACAAGTCAGTACAAAAATAAACATCACATGATTTCTTTAGACTTTAGCATATACAGTATGTACTTGTAAGTCTGTAAAATTGCACATCAGTGTTCTTCTCACCTTGCTGGGGTCATAGTAGTGCAGGAAACCAGGCTCCGCCCTCAAAATAAACAATCTTACTTTCCAGTTCTTCACCTTGTGGCCCTGACACACAGATAAACAGGTGAGTGAACACACAGACCACTAGCACCACAAGTAAGTAGCCTATAGTTCAGTTCAAAACCTCCAATTTCAGCAGAGTGCTCACCTGTTTGAGCAGGTAACCTCTCTTCACCACCTTTCCACTCAGCTCCACCGCAGACCGAGACTTTTCTGATTTCACACTGCCTCGCTTCTGGAAGCTTTGGGACTGTTTGAGAAATCATATTTGTTTGGTTTAATTAGGACAACTTATTTTTATATCTAGTATATAATGATTACAAAAGAGTTGAGTAAAGAATAAATCAAAAAGAAAGAGATTTGGAACTTACAAAGCAGTAGAGTGCAGTGGAGTCATCGAGGAACTGTTCTCCTAGAGCAGCGTTACGGAGAGCGTCTGCGCTCCTGATCCCGATGGGCCGTAGGGAGGCTTCATCCAGCAGCGCAGAGGCTAATGTTACTGACTCCACACGGGTCAAAGCCAGCCTATTAAACACAAGCCAATCCACCACTGCTGAGCCTGCACACACACACACACAAATATGAAACACTTCCGATCTTCGACTTTGATTGACCAGAGCTGATATACAGACCAACAGCACTGGATCAGTGCTCATGTTCCAGGCAGACTGACAGTACTATGTATGTGTATAGTGAGTAGTGACAAATGACTCTTTCTGCAGGTTATACTGTATCGCCGGTAGGTGGCGACAAGTGACTGTCTTAATGAGAGAATCATTTACACAACATATTTGTTCAAAGAGTGATTGTTTCAGGAACGGAACAAGATTGACAAAAAAATTGACAAAGCAACTGCCGATAATGTCTTAAAAAGGTAGGTGAACCTGATTTCACCAAGTAAAACGTTCCTGGAACAACATTCCAATCATTCAATCAGATTTGAGGGATAGGCTTATAGATAATGTCAAGTTTAGTCTTATAACCAAGTTTTAGGGGTTTCTACACCATCATGTGACACTGAAGATTGGAGTAATGGCTGCTGAAGATTCAGCTTTGCCATCACAGCAATAAGTTACATTTTAAAACATAAGATAAAAAATATATATAGTTATTCAGCTGAAAATATTGCTGTTTTACTGCATTTATGATCACATAAATGCAGGTGAGCATGAAAGTGTTCTTTCAAAAACACTTAAAAAATCTTACCAACCCTTAACTTTTGAACAGCAGTGTAAATAAACATAAACATTAGTGAGAGAGATTGTAATTATTTTAATAATGCACATTCATGCTTTAATGTGTGTTTTTGATTGTCTGACCTGAGAAACAGTTGGTGTAAGAGCTGCCCTGCTCAACATGACTGCTTAGCCGGATACCAGTGTGCACATCATACATGGAGTCCACCACCTGACTGATATACAGATATACGTTTAGACATGGAGTCGCAAACACATTCGCATATATTGACAAAATCCACACATAGTTACCTGAGGTTGACATTGTGAAGCTGGAGTGACGTAGATCCTTTAATTTGTGATGGGGAGGGGGTCTGTGCATCACGTGGGTTAAGCTTCTGTACTGCTGCACCAATCGCTGATGCCCATTCGTCACGTTCCTCCCTCATGCAAGCCTCCAGAAAGTGCTCATCTGCAGTGTTGGTCTGCAGCTTCATCACCAACTACAGGGTGTAAAATGTGGTTAATATGACAACAGTCTTCAGTCACGCCCTAAACAAACATTTTAAGTTGTTGGTGATAGACAGTGCAGCACTTTTTGTATCACAAGAACATAAAGGAAATTGCCACAAACATGCCAAACTCCATCACTCTGAACCTGGCATTGACTGCAGCTGTTACACAATGTGGAATATAAATCAAAGACATTGCAAAGATATACTGGGGGAAATAAAAGCGGTGTTCCTGACATGCTAGTGCATGTGAGCAATGCAAAACAAAATAATGAAAGGTATGAAGCGTAACCTAAGGCTGTGAACATTTAAAGCACTGAGACACTCCCAGTGTTTGGTTTAGTGTTCAAGGTGTAATCTGAACTAGACCACTGATAAGCCACTTCCCAATGATATCTGTTTGTAGACCGCATATTACCAAATTAATGCTGAAATTAAATAATAAATGTTAATTAATAATGTCTGTAGAACAGTTGAGAGCAGAGTTGGGGGTAACGCAGAGTTATATAATCAGATTAGTGAAATGCAAACTCAAAATATTACGCAAACCAAAAATGTTAATATGTTAAATAAACACAAATATACTTTATGTATTTAATCTCACTTTATTAACCAATGTCTTTGCTGCTGCTGACCTTCAATGATCCAATTCAACCATACTAATAAGCAAAAATGGTTTTAGATGAACATCACATTTGCTTAATTTTTTTTTTTTTTGCTGAAGTAAGAGTGTTGAACTTTCTTCTCCTGCGTCCTATTCTTCTGCAATCCAGAATGGCAGCACAAAAAGCTTTGTTTGAGCAGCGGCCAGTATTCTGTAGGGAGACCGGGGATGGTTGTAACACGGGTCAGTTGTAACAATTCCAATCTGTCCAATCAGGAACTAGTTACAAATCACCTGATTCACTTAGCACATGCTCAGTTTAGTTCTTATTCCACATGAGATAAAGTAGAGCCCAGTGGCAGACACAGCAAATGTTAGAGTGGAAAAAACAATTTTGAGGTAAGAAAGTTACCTTTTTTACTTTTTTTGTTTTTGTTATGGGAATTTCTGCTTTGAAGTTAATCTCATTAAACTTGTATTATGTTTATTGTGTGTCTGTGTAGATATTTTCCATGCAAGTTGTTAGTGCTAATGTTTTGCCTGTTTGCTGTAAGGTGAGCTAGTTCATGGCTACATGACTCTGGGTTAGTTGTAACAACAAGACTCTGGGTTAGTTGTAACACACACACACACACACACACACACACACACACACACACACACACAATGTTCAAGTGTTCAATTTTATTATGGCCAATACTAACACTGGCAGTAACAAACATGCTTACAAACAAACAATGTTTGTGTTCAAGTTCAATTTATAATGGTCAATTACTATGACTGAGAGTGACAAACACACTGAGACTAAGAGTGACACACACATCAGTTATATTGAAAAGTCAGTGTTGAATAAAAACCTTTCAAAATAATTTTTTTGTCAAAATCTTTATTTCATTATGTTACATATCACCCCGGTGGATATCATAATGTTACATCTCACCCCAGGGTATGTTACAACTAACCCAGCCTATGGGGTGAATTGTAACATTTCACTCCTCGTGTTTGAAACTAAACCATGCATTTTCGTTTTGTGTTGCAAAGATAATAGCTATGTCATTTAATAGCAGACACTTGTAACTAGTTTGGATCACATTTTGAACACACTGACTTCAAAGTACTACCAGATATAGACACAACACAGATTACAACCATCCCCGGTCTCCCCCTACAGGTGTGAATTTGAATTTCATTCAGCCAGATACATATTGCTTATACATTTCACTTTTGTTGTGTAATGGCCTTTACATTTTCCAAAAAATATATCTTTTTTGTTTTTATTAAAAGAAAAAAGCCCAGATAAGACTGTAACTTTAAAAGTAACTTTCCCAAACACTGCTTGAGAGTATCCTAGAATTCTGAGTGCAAACATAATCTTTAAACCACAAAATATCGCTTTGTTGTAAACTCCTTAACAGAGGATGGTAAAATTGCACTAGCCTATATATAACTTTGTGATAACTTATACAGTACACACAAAATAAATAAAAACAAAGTCGAATACTTTGACTGTTCTCACTTACCGGTCTGTTTTCGTACTCCAGGCAAGGACAGGTGATTTTGCAGTTACTCAAATGTATCGTCCCTCGATGGCAGGAATCCCGTTTGCCGCCTTCATATTTATAATACATAAGTTTGTCCGATTTAAGAACAAACCAACGAACTTTCCAGTTCTGAACCACGTGGCCCTAAAAACGAACATCATTTGTTAATAATCCAGTAAACTGGCGATTAATTTGCCATATGTGTATGGATAAAAAGTTCAAAAGAGTCTCTCTCACCCTTTTCACCAAAAAACCCTCTTTAAGGACGCCGTTATTTTCTGCCTCAGTGCCCATGTTAACTCCACCAGAGTAGATTCACTAGGCAGGTCTAAGCGCTTCAGGTGTTTTATAGCTGCCGCAGAAATTCCTTGTAATGTGCGTCATTGTGCGCAATCCCTATCGGCGCCCCCCAATCAATGAGCAAGAAAACTTTACCTGGGTGTGGGATTGGTCGGTGAGAATTAAATTCATTAAAAATTAGATACATTATTAAATAATACGGACTTGTAAAGTTTGATGAAAGTACGATAGAATCAAATCAGTATTATTATTTTAGATCTTAGCCTACAATTTACAGATAATTCTACACAGACACAGGAAATTCCTATAGCCATAGGGCACATGAGTCAAGACAGACGCAGTCAGATTGAGTCATTGTTCAGGTGAGATTCAATTCAGTGACCGGATGTTTGTTGCTATGGCAGTGCAACTTTGCGATGGAAATAACTGAAAATGTAATCATATGTATTTAATCTTATGGGGGCATATTGCATTATGTACACGGACTGTAAAGGAAAGTATCACTGACTATTAGCCTATAGGGTACACTTAAAAAATAAAGGATCTTTATTGGCATCCATAGCTTTAAAGTTCATGGAACCTTTCCATTTCACAAAAGGTTCTTTAAAGTGGAAAAAATGTATTAGATTTTAAAATGTTCTTCAATCTTCACACTAAGAAAAAATGGTTCTTTTAAAAACTGTTAATTGAAAGGTTCTTTGGGGAACCAAAAATGTATGACATCTCTCTCTGTGATCCTTTTGGAACCTTTATGTTTAAGAGTGTACACACTTAACAAACTAAACATTCTTTATTTACAAAAATAAACAGACATAGGGCCTATTTCGACATGGCTAAAACTGGAATTTGCCAGCTGGCAGACATAGTTGAGCCGAGACAATCTTACACAATATGTGTGTTGATCATATAAAAATCATCGGCCATGTTCCTACATGAACTGTGAAAAGTTGGTAAACTAATGGCGGGAACATGGCCAAACTTTCATGTTCACTCACTTCTACTACAGAGCACTAGATGGTGATCTCGCACTGCAATTGGGTAGGACTAGTATTGAGTGGGACTTTGTAGTTGTTTTCTGTTGTTTGTGGGAGAATGATCTGAAAATGAAACCGTCTCATGAAGTAAAATAAATTATATGGCAATTACACAAAATGTTATGTTAGACATCTCAGAACACATGGCTATACCAGAAAGTAGTTATACCAGACTGGTATAACTTAACAGACAACACTGCAAAACCTTGGTTAAAACACACACACTGTTGTGTTTTCATGTTTTATGTGGACTTTTCATAGGAGTAATTATTTTAAACTGTTCAAACTGTATATTCTATCCCCTTACACTAACCGTACCCCTAAACATACCGATTACAGAAAACTTTCTGCATTTTTACATTTTCAAAAAACATCACAGTATGATTTATAAGCTGTTTTCCACATGGGGACCAAAACATTTCCACACAAGGACAAGGATTTCGGATATTGCCATCTTTGTGGGGTCATTTTGTCCCCATAAAGTGGGTTTACCAGGCCACACACGTCGGGGTTCCATATTTTATGTGGACTTTCCATAGATATAATGCTTTTTATACTGTACAACTGTATTCTATCCCCATCACAGAAAACATTCTGCATCTTTACATTTACAAAAAAATATCACTTAGTATTCAGATATTGTCAATATAGGGAGATCAGGGGAGTGTTGTAACAGGGGGTCAATTGTAACACTGTCCGTTTGACATGTCAGAAAAGAGCTGTGGTGATGTCATCAATATCATACACTTCCATCACCTTTTTGAGCTCACATGAGAAGTGGCATGTTATTGTGACTGTGAGCAAAATTGTACATTTTATGACCAATGACATTTTTCTGGAAAGTAATTTTTATTTAGACAAGTCTTTCCCTAGCAATCATTGTATTGTATGTAGGCTACAGTTATTTGTCTTGCATAATATAAAGTAGCTAATTCTACAATTTGATGCTTTGCATTCATGCTAACTTCAAACCCACAAGCTAAAACAGTTAGCTAAGTTGTGGCTGTTCGGGGTGGGGATAGTTGTAACGGTTCATTAAAAATGTTACAACCAACCCCTTAAGATATTCCAGTGATCAATCACATCCCAGTTAAGACAAAATAGAGACTCGAGTTTTTGTTGCGCATTGAGGGATTTATGTGGTAAATATGTTTCCATCATAGTTTATGCACATGTCTTCTTATCGGAAAAACACATTATCCACCCCAATTGTGCACATATGATTTTTTTGGGCACATTTTAAGAATTTACGAGCATCTTGGCGTTTCCATACAGCGTTTTTTTATGTGATATCCCAAAATGCACATAAAATAGGTGGATGGCAACAGCCAGTGACTGAACTGTTATGTGACAGGTATACTGCATGCACACATGACAATTGTTTTGTGCTAAATTTTAAAGTCCTTAAAGAAATACAATTAAATGTTTTTTGTTACTTTAAATTGTTCACTTACTCAAAACTGCAAAATTTAGATTGTGTGCATCCTATTTCAGAAAATTACCTCTCAGTGTTACATTATCACCACAGTATGGGGTAGGTTGTAACAGCGGAACTCCTTGTGTTTGACATTATCTCACATAATCTGTGATTGTGTTGTACATGTCAAAGTGAGTTATATTTGTAGCAGACAAATGTGACTACCATGTACTGTATCAAATTTTGAGAGATATAGCACAAACAACCACTGAGTTACCGATGCTCAAACAAAAGTGTTACTCTCATCCCAGGTCTCCCCATATATATTGATTAGGGTACTAATACTATGATAACTTCAGAAAATGTTAAACACTGTTAATCAACATATCAATTTATATATTTTTTAAAAAGCAGCTCATATTTTATGTCATTGTAAAAGATTTTGTTGGAGAGGTATTCAGTATTAATGCAGATGTGTAAATTTGTAATTTGAAGAAGTTTGTGAGGATTTCAGATCCTGGATACTGAGCTAAAATCCCGGACCTGCTGATCCAGTTTTAATTGAAACACACTGGACACACATGCACACAGCCCTTGTGGTCACAGCTGTTTGCGTGTGAGTGCCAGAGAGAAGGAAATAACATTCCTGCCATATTGACTTTCTTCTATTGATTTTAATTTTATTATTATTTATTTTGTCACTTGACTTTTGCAGGGTGTTTTATGTTCTCTATTGCGTGGACCATTTTTAGTAATTGATTGTATGGTTGCTATCGATACGAAACAACATAAATACCTTCACACACAAAGATCAGCTGCAGGGTGCTGGGGGGTGTGTCTTCAGAAATAACCATTAACACTGTTCAAACAGCCATCCCGAAAGTTATGACGTAAATAAAAACACACCCGGATGTAGAAGAACCTGTTAAAGGCCTTTAAAAGAGCCGCACAATCAGAGAATTAAAGGAGCTCAAACACTCAGACCCGCACAAACATCCTTTTTCTGTTTATAGTGTTTCCTCTGGGTTTGGAGAACGATGCCAATAAATTACCATATACTGTAATCAAGTCATAGTACAGTTGTCAAATCATATAAAACATAAATGAAAGTGTCTTTTATGAACTACTCACACAAAGTCCCATGACTATTTCATACAACTGATTCTTTACCAGCAATTTTATCTCTTTTTTTATTTCTGTAACATCAGGATGCCAGACTGCGATTAAACAATGTTTGTGTATGCGCACAAAATACAGTCGATGCAAACAAAACATTTGCTTATTAAAATATCTGTCTTACATAATATCACATGTCCACTGAACTACAGCATTACTTAACACAATATACTTAAACAATATGAATACAATGAACACTCTTAGACAAGCTAGTGTCACCTGTGCAAAAATAAATTCATAGAAATGACAAGGCCTAGAAAGTTAGGTCACCTTGAATAAAGGGCAGCACAAAGGATGCAGGGAAGTAAAATGTGTTAACAAAAGTCTCTTTGTTGCACTCTTACGGCCTTTCCCTTTTTCTTGTGCTTGTGAAAGGAAATAGGGGAACAAATTGAAGGATTGAATTCCATTTGAATGGGACATGTAATACAAACCCTTCTAAACTTCCTAAAAATAAAAGCTTTTTTCCCAAACAACAGTTTTTACTGCACTTTAAAACAGTTTTTACTGCACTTTTACTGCACTTTCTTTTTCTGAGAGCTAGCGAAAGTAAAATAACCATCACCAAACTGCTCAGAAAATGCAAATATCTGTTTCTATACACAGAGAACAGATTGGCATTAACTCAGCAGTGCTGCAGTTTTATGGAGATGATGGAGAAGAATACTGAACATAATACTTGATTAATGAATTCTGTAATTAAAGTAATTAAAAAGTTGACCAAATAAAGGCTGCTCTTTATTTGGCCATGTTATACTGGAAAATGTATAACACGTTTTATTGCACATAATGGTATTTTGTATGTTTCCTGTTCCTGAATCTGTGCTACTTAAGTTGTACATGGACAATTGCATGTTCTCAAAGTTACACAATGAAGAACAGAGAATGTTAAATCTACAAACAGCTTTAATACATGATTAGCTACACTAGGATCTGCAGCTTCCCCAGCATTTAAGACACACTGTTTTTTTAACCTAAAATAAACATACGTATTTAATCAAAGATAAAAAAGGGGCTTTTTTGGAAGTTGCATTTAAAATCCACTTGAATCACAAATCTAATTTCTTCATCCTCTCTCTTTTAGAGTCGACTAACTCTGTGCCATGACGTCACCACTTTTTCAGGATTAGTCATGGAATCCCTCCATTGTTGCACTGCCTCAGGTGAACTGCCGTCAAATCCCAAGAGGACCTAAAAATGAAGGAATACACACAAAGACGGGAACTTGTGGAATATACACTTCTTTTCAAACGTTGGGGTTGAGAAAATTGAGAAAATGAATTAATACTTATATGTTCAGAAAGGAAATTGGTAAAATGTTACAGTAAATCTATGTATGATATTACAAAAAATATATCTGAAATAAATGCTGTTATTTTGAACTTGAGGGGAAAAAATTATCACGGTTTCTACAAAAATAATACTGTGATAAATGTTTCTTGAGCACCAAATCATCGTATTAGAATGATTTCTGAAGGATCATGTGACACTGAAGACTGCTGAAAATTCCAGTAGCACCTCATTGCAGTACACGAGATCCAGGGGGTGGAGTTGGATCCAGATCTAAGGGGTGGAGATGGGTAGGGTTAGGGGTGGGGTTAGGGATCAGGGGGCGGAGATGGGTAGGATTAGGGTTGGGGTTAGGGATCAGGGGGCGGAGATGGGTAGGATTAGGGGTGGGGTTAGGGATCAGGGGGCGGAGATGGGTAGGATTAGGGGTGGGGTTAGGGATCAGGGGGCGGAGATGGGTAGGATTAGGGGTGGGGTTAGGGATCAGGGGGCGGAGATGGGTAGGATTAGGGGTGGGGTTAGGGATCAGGGGGCGGAGATGGGTAGGATTAGGGGTGGGGTAGGGATCGGGGTGGAGATGGGTATGATTAGGGGTGGGGTTAGGGATCAGGGGGTGGAGATGGGTAGGATTAGGGGTGGGGTTAGGGATCCGGGGGTGGAGATGGGTAGGATTAGGGGTGGGGTTAGAGATTAGGGGGTGGAGATGGGTAGGATTAGGGGTGGGGTTAGGGATCAGGGGGCGGAGATGGGTAGGATTAGGGGTGGGGTAGGGATCGGGGTGGAGATGGGTAGGATTAGGGGTGGAGATGAGTAGGATTAGGGGGTTAGGGTTAGAGTCAGGGTTAGGGATCAGGGGGCGGAGATGGGTAGGTTTAGGTATATGTAAGGTGGGAGGAGTTGGATCTGGATCCAACTCCTCCCCCTGGATTTCGTGTTCTGCAGTGAGGACCATCTCGAAAATTCAGCTTTGCTATAACAGGAATAAATTACATTTTTACAATAGAAAAGTTGATTTTTATTTGTAATAATATTTCACAATATTAGTGTCTTTATTGTATTTTTAACAAATATATTAACTTTCAATTTAAACGTGTTGATTTGCATACTAAACGTAGTGTGTTGTAGTATGTATTCTGCTCCAAACTGACCTGTCCCAGCAGGTGTTTTCTCCGGACAGAGCTACGGCTGTAGAGTTTGACTGCCAGCTGCAGATTCTGGTCCTGATTGGTGATGGGCAAGTGAAGCACCTCTTCCCATTGAACATGCCTCCCTGATGACTTCATCACCTTCGTCTTCCTCTTCAGTAAGACCTTACCCTCACTCAGCAAGTCAACCTTCACAAAGAAACCTAAAGAGAACGTCCATTTGCACAGTTCATTTCATCAACATTGTCATATTTGTCTTATTCACTCTTCCACAACAATTAACTGAGGAAAATTAATTAATAAATGAAAAAGGCCCAGACCCCTTTAATTTCTATATGCTTTGGGAAGGAATTATTTAAATGAGGAATATTGAGACGTGTATGTTCCCAGAAGAAAACTCAAGACTACAATCGAGGCGTTTCAGGGAGTTCAGAAACAGTGCTAACTGATATGGAAAAAAACACCAATACAAAGTTTGGAGTGGACTTTGTAACTTTGCAGCCCTTTTTCATGCTCAAACAGACACATTACACAGTACAGATAGTTGATCATGTAAAAAAGCATAATAGGACTCACTCTGTGTGAGCGGTGAGGAAGATGACGGAAGGTTCTGAGCACTATGCATCTGGAGTTGAATTCGACTGCTCACTGGCTGGAAGCACAAGGCCAGCTGAAGCTCTGCGTGACACACCTACAGAAACATACACACACACACTTACACATAATAATCCCTGTTAGGTTTAGGTGCTGTGTATGGTTGAGTGTGTGGTGTATGTGTGTTTTAGGGCAGACTTATACCTGCTGCGACTTATTCACTGATTTATATTCAGTGAGACAAACCAATTTCTGACCCAGTAACACACAAACAGCTGTTACTGATTTGAAGAAAAAAAAAAACTTCCCCTAGACCAGGTTGCACTGACCTTCATTCTGGAATACAGTTCAGTCCATTTCAAACACCCCACTACTGAAAAAAAGACTTTGTACTAAAAAAAAACCCCCTGCTAAGTTTGGATTTCAGTCACATGCACACAAGCAAAACAAACAAATCACATTTTTCAAAGTTATAAACTGTGCCAAATCTGATACCTGTTTGTGTGTATGGCAGCTTTCAGTAGGCTGAACAATGTTTTACAGGCCCTAACCTACTTACAGTGAGTATAAAGTACAGTGTGAAGTATAAAAATGATAACGTGACACATTCCGTTATATCTGTTTATTATGTTATATATATATATATATATATATATATATATATATATTATTAGTATCTAGTATTAGTATCATCTAAATACCTGTATAATATATATAAATATATATATATATATATATATATATATATTATACAGGTATTTAGATTATACTAATACTAGATACTAATGATCAATTTATGAAATTTTACATATATATATATATATAATAAATAATATATGAAGTGTATGTGTGTATGCATGTATACTAATATACTAGTTCAAAAGTTTGGGGTCAGTAACATTCATTTTTAATGTTTTATTCTCACCAAGGCTGCATTTATTTGATCAAAAATACAGTAAAAACAGCAATATTAGTAAATATTATTACAATTTAAAATTAACTGTTTAATATATTTGAAATGTTCGTCAGCATTATAAATGTCTCTACTGTCACTTTTGATCAATTTAAATGCGTGCTTGCTTGCTTAAATCTTACTGTGTCTGTACACAAATTCTAAATCAAAGAAGGAATCTAAAAGGGATTCTCAATTAAATTCTGAATTGCCCACAATACTTGAAAAATGATAGTAAACATTTTGTTTCTGTGTGTGTTAACAGGAAGCTTTGGAGAGATCAGCTTTTTAAGGATCTAGATAATTCCTTCAAAAAGGGCTTTCAGCAGTATTGAAATAGCTGGTATATTGATTTCTCCCTCTCTGAGAGCTCTGTCTGTCTGTCTAACCCCCAGTGACCTAAATATCACAGAAGAGGCCTGGGCATAACTAGAGCAGCTGTTTAATGTGGTCATTGTATGTAATTGCAGTCGGAAGTTTAAGATTTTTTCCAAATAACCTTACAGACAAAACCAGGAAGAACCTGCAAGACATGCGGTCACAATGAGATGTAGCAGATGAAGACTCACATGTGTTTTAGAGTGAGGCTTGAAATCCAGACAGTGCTTTGTTTCCTGCGGTCCGAGGGTTCGCAGAGATAACACACACTCCCCCAGCGTCCGCTTACGTGGTGTGTGAGCCTGCAGGCGCAGCACCAGTGCTGATCTTCGGATTTGCTCTAAGTTCAGAGTGAACACAAATGTCTCCATGAAGACAGTTTCCTAAAAGAGAAATAGACAATATACTGAGATATACTGAGGGATAGTTACAAACTTAATCTGTGAAGCAAAGTAAAATAAAACAATACTGCACGCTCTACATATTTTTACTTATGTGATAAAGTATGTTTTTTATGCATCTTTGGTTGTGTGGGACTCTTTTAGTCTCACTGTAATGGTCATTATTCGAGAAACACTGGAGGGACTGAAGGGAGGGCTGAATAATTCATCACAGTTAATTTGAATGATGACATAACATAAACTTTTTGTGTTATATTGATCAAAGAGGTCTGTGATTCAATGGGGAAAAATATGGGTTTTAAAAAAAATGTTTTAAAGTAATATTGGGAAATATTATTGCAATTTAAAATGACTGTTTTCTATTGTCATACATTTTAAAATGTAATTTATTTCTGTGAGGGCAAAGCTGAATTTCCAGCATCATTACTCCAGTCTTCAGTGTCACATGATCCTTTAGAAATCATTCTAATATGCTGCTCAAGAAACATTTTTATTATTATCAATGTTGAAAGCAGTTGTGCTGCTTAATATATTTGTGGAAACTGTGATACATTTTCTTAGGGTTCTCTGATTGATAGAAAGTTCAAAAGAACAGCATATATTACACATTTACTCTCACTTTTGATCAATTTAATGCTTTCTTGCTGAATAGAAGTATTCAATTCTTTAAAAAAATCTTACTGACCCCAAACCTTTAAATGGTAGTGTATATTGCTTGCAAAATTATTTATTTAGTCAGAATACATGGCTTATTTTGAATGTCTGTCAATGGAGAAAGGCACTTTATAGAAGCAGATATTGTAGTTCCAGCATCTACCAGCAGTGTTTAACTGAGCTCAGTATATGCCAATTATATAATCTTAGGTGTTGTAGTTTTATGACTGCTGGATTTCACTCACTGCTGATGTTTCCTTGACTGTGCTCTTAAATCGCACTGGCTTCGTCATGGTGATGACCCCTTTGACCCCAATCCTCTGCACGTCCACCCCTTCAGTATACACACTCAAGTCCGTACACTAAGAGAAAGTACCAAAGAGGAAAGAGGAGGGAATTTGAGAAACAATAAGTGAGGCTGAAAGCAATATGTAGGCCTACTGTTTATGAGCTTTTATAACCACTAAAACCACTGTATGTCAACAAGGGGATTTTTCTCAGAGCAGGTAAAGAGAGCCAGGACCTTGTTAAAAAATAGTATTAGAAAATTATTGACAAAAATAAAATAAGCATTATGAAATATGAGATCAAACAGTGTGCTAACTATATATGGTGCTTGATTTCAGTATTCAACCACATACCCTTGATATCAAATTATGTGTAAAATAAAGAGGCGAAGACAGGCATCTACAGACATAGTTATTTTTCAATTATTTGAAAACGAAAGATTAAAAATAGCTTGTTGGAAATGTGATCATTTGTTACAGCTCTCTTACAGCGACACAGAGGCTCCATTCAGCTGGTCTCTAGATGGGACACAATGGTCTGTTGTACTAGCAAAGCCTCTCCTGGTTGAAATCATACCTTCACTAAGGTGATCCACACCTGCTCCACCGCCTCCTCATACTTCAGGTGCACACACACTTTTCCCGGCTCACGATCCCGCTCATCACCAGACAGAGTGATGGACTCTACGCACACACACGCCACGAGAAACATAAATATTATCACTCCAAAATATTGTCCACATGTCTATCAGTGTATATGTGTGATGCATGTATACAGATATTTAACAGATGTTTACACACACACACACACACACATATATATATATATATACACACAGTACTCTGCAAAAGTCTTAGGCACGTTAGGTTTTAACCAGTTATTTATATCTTTTGCAGTAGTGTGTCAGAGGGAAATATCAGTTTACATTTTCAAACATTCCTTTTGCCATTAATTGTAATAATCCAGTGAGATTTTTGTATGCACAAGGAGTCTGACAACAGCCAGTCTGCTCCACACGGAGATCTGATCTCACCATCATCGAGTCTGTCTGGGATTACATGAAGAAACAGACAAAACTGAGACGGACTAAATCCAGAAGAACTGCGGCAACATCTCCAAGACGCTTGAAGAAACCTGGCTGCAAAGCTACAGTACTGTGAAAAGTTTTAGGCACTTGTGTAAAAATGCTCTAAAGGGGGGAATGCTTTCAAAAATAACCTAAGAAACATATTTTATTTATCAATTAACTTCTACTAACTATATCAAATCATTATTTGGTGTTACCACCCTTTGCATTTTAAACAGCTTTTGTCCTAGGTAGACTTGCACATAGTTTAATTTAAAACAAATAAATAATATTCTGTTAATTAATATTCAGCTTCAGTGCTGCTGTCAATAAAGAAAAATAGGGACAAACCAAATGTTTAGGATCAAATTATTTATAATTAACTTCAGTGTTAATTAAAACCACTTTCAACTACATTAGAAAAATGCTAAATAGAAGCATTTCTCTAGTGGTCTCAGATGTTTAAAGCCTACTGTATAAAAATATGTCTTGGTGGATAGTAAATGTTTGTTATATTAAAATATATTTTCAGTTTATTTGTGTTTTGTGTTTGAGCGTGTAAAGATCCTCTCTACATTCTAAGAGTTACATGAGTACTTGTGTACTGGACCTCAGGGAAAACATTTGGAAGTAATTACTGTGTCTGCCCTTTACAATTTCACAATCTGCCGTGATCTTGTCTGTCCTGTGTGTGTGTGTGTGTGTGTGTTTAGAGTCTGTGTGTATGTGTACATGGGATGAGCAGAGAGGGAGTAAGATTGTTGAGACATAAAGGGTCCAAAAAGACCCTAACAAAAAAACAAAAGGAAAACCAAACAAATGAAACTGTAGTGGAAATTCCAGGTAACAGTGGAGCGGAACCCTTTCCAGAGAGTTCTATTGGAAGGGAACATTGAGGGTTCTTTTGGAATGCGCTTGTCTGCGGTTACGACTTCAGTGTTCCATCATGAATGGTTACCTAGACTACGGCTGCTCCCAAAGGAATCCTGAAAGGAGGATGTGCTGCTCTGGACACTGGATACAGAATCATAACGCTTGGAGGAACAAGAGGAAGAAATGTTACTAAACAACAGCTCTGCTAATCATTAAACAGCAAAGTATTAGTGTACTGTATATACCCAACACTTTATTCAAGAATTTAATCAGCTCTGATTGATGCAAATGCAAAAGGCCACAAATTGACACTTTATTTATCATGAACTATAATAAAAACTTCACATGGCTCAAATAAAACTCCTGCTTAATAGTGCCATAGATGGTTTGTAATTCATAGAGTTCTCAATCTTATCTAACTAAAGTAATTAATTAATATATTAACTATGTTAAATATATTTAATTATTTACAAATATTAATTGTTAATTCCAGTAACAAAAGCAACAGAACAGTTTTGAATTAAATAATGATAAATAATAATGATAAATAATGTTTACTATTTGTAACAATTATTATATTATTCCATGATATAAACTACCATTCAAAAGTGTTTGATCAGTAAGAGTTAAAAACTAAATTATACAATAAATACAAAGAAACTAATATAACTTTTGAACTGTCTATTCATCAAAGAATCCTGACAAAAAATGTGTTGCGGTTTCCCCAAAAATATTAAGCAGTGCAGCCATCTTCAATATTGATAATAACAATAAGACATGTTTCTTAAACACCAAATCAGCATATTAGAGTGATTTCTGAAGGATCATGTGACACTGAAGACTTTATATACATCATATAATAATAGCTCATGTGTGAACAGGTGTACGGGATCTCAGCTGCTCGTGAAAGCTGCGGTTTAAATTATTATACAGTTTTATGGTGTGTGTGTGTGTGTGTGGTTCAGGTATTCCCTATTGTGGGGACAAAATGTCCCCATAGGTATAGTAATACCAGAAATGTGTGATTTTGTTGAAACATTTTTTGGTCCCCATGAGGAAAACAACTTGTGTTTTTTGAAATTGTAAAAATGCAGAAAGTTTTCTGTGATGAGTAGGTTTAGGGTTAGGGTATAGAATATGCAGTGTGAACAGAGTGGTTCACTATGTCTATTTAATGTCTGCATAAAACATGAAAACCTAACGTGCGTGTGCGTGCGTGCGTCCGTGTGTGTGCGTGTACAACTCACCTGTACATGGTCCTGAGGGTTTGACAAATCAAACAGGGAGAGACTGAGTCTCGCTTTGCCACTGTGTTCTAAACCTGTGAAAAAATTTTTTTTTAATTTTAATCTTAGGAAAAGTATTGTTGATTCAGATTATTTTGTCATGTATAAAAAATGATTCCATTTAAAATGTCTTCATCAGTTTGATATTTTAATTGTGTCATGCTCAGCCACTGAAAACAAAGCATCAGAATCATCTGAATGTGGGCTGTCAACAATACAATCTGGGACATTGTCAGTGCAAATCTGCCATGAACAATAGGGAATTTGGGAGCAGGAATAAAACAGAAGGATTATGCAAAGGTGTGTAGGAACGTAAATATTTGAGGTTACATACTGAGATGTTACGTGGTGAATGATGCTACGAGGAAGTGAAATGGGGCAGTAAATCCACTCTTTAAACATCATGCACAGAAAATAAATAAAAGGAATATTGTCCCATGTAACGTCTGGCTTCGTGTTTTAGGAAGATCTAAATGTATTTCACCTGTCCCAGGGCTGTTGTTGGGTCTGTTTTTCAGATTGGGCCGTCTCAGTGAGCCTGGCGACACGTAGCTGATCATATGACTGCTGTTTAAGTTCAGATCAGAGTCATACATCATTTGACTGGCTCCTGCGAGCTCTGCCTTCCTTTCTGCATAAGTGCTCCTTGTGGCACCTGAAATCAATCATATCAAATTTGTAAACACAATTGTGATTTAATAAAATAAATAAAATAATGTCATTATTAACATATAAATCTCATCTGAGTAATATTGTTTACTCTGTTGCCCGATGTTGTAGCCAGAGTACTGCGCCCCTCTCGGCTGGATGTAGGAGGGTTTGAAGGTTGGGATGATGAATGGAACCTCCCGGCCGTCCGGAGGCAGTTTAGACAGGAGATAATCCTCTGATAAGCCAACATTCCTCTTTACAGTAGACTCAACAGTTAATTTACCAGGAGGTCGAACCTTAATCACTAAAAAATATACAAATACATCTTTCATAATTCATGTATGTATTAGTACACACATATATATATATATATATATATTGTGTGTATGCATAATTCTTCAATCGTGAGTAAGTGATGGGGAGAGAGAGAGAGAGAGAGAGAGAGAGAGAGAGAGAGAGAGAGAGAGAGAGAGAGAGAGAGAGAGAGAGAGAGAGAGAGAGAGAGAGAGAGAGAGAGAGAGAGACTCACTCTGAATCTCTGGTTCTTTCTCCTTGGACATAAACGTCCTGCAGCAGTTTTTGATACATTCTGTCATGTTGAGGATCTGCACACACCAATCACATAAAAATAATTGGTAACACTTTATTTTGACGGTCCACTTTAGACATTGTACTAACTATAAGTAACTTTGCAACTAAATGTCAACTACAAGTCATAATAGTGTTAGTATTGTTGCTTGGGTACTTTCCCATTAAAAATGGGCAATACATTTCTATCTGGATAATTTAGATCAGTCGTGGGCCCTGTGTCTCATCTGGTTGCCCGTTGACGGCAAGATTGCCCAGCAACATTGCTCAAAAAGTTGCCCTGTGTATCATCACCTTAAGAGCTGTGCATGTAAACCTCACTACCCTGATCTCAAGAGGCGCTTTAGCAACTGATGCTAGCGGCTGCGGTCTTTAGTCTCCTTTTAAAAGCTCCCGCCTCCCACGCCAGAGACCCCGCTCAGAGTGGGTCGAGTAGGACTGGTTACATTTGGTGCCGTGACCCGGACGAGAGTGAGGTTTAGGGGAGTGAATCTAACGGACATAGGCCAGTGTGTGTAAAGCTCACTCCCCAAGCCTCAAGAGGTGTGCTAGAGGCTGTGGTCTTCAGTGTCCTTGTTAAGGTGATGATACACAGGGCAACTTTTTGAGCAATGTTGCTGGGCAATGTTGCCGTCAACGAGCAACCAGATGAGACACAGGACCCACGACCGATCTAAATTATCCAGTTAGAAATGTATTGCCCATTTTCAATGGGAAAGTGCCCAGGCAACAATCGCTCGGCAAGATTGCCAAGCAACATTGCTCAAAAAGTTGCCCTGTGTATCATCACCTTTAGAGCCCCCGTCTCCCACGCCAGAGACCCCGGATCGAGTCAAGTAGGACCGGTTACACAAGTACATGTCTACTAACCCTAACCTAACAGTCTGCTAATACTGAGTTAGTTGAAATGTAGGTCAAAGTAACCAAAGAATTATACAACAATGTCCAACAGTCGACGACAGAATTCTGATTTCACAACATTTCCAACACAATGTCATTTCCATCACGTGTTCTGTGTTTAATACAATTTTGTGGTGGAAAAGATTAAGATAGAAATTATTTTAGAAATAAAACATCCAACTCCTGTATTGCTAAGGATTAAACCTTGAATGGAAGTGACACAATACAATTTTTTGTTCAAATTCATTCAATCACTTCTTGATATTGATGACCTTGGTTTTTCACATTTCAGATTTTTTTTTTTTAAATCTTGATGTCTTCACCTCATAAGCATATTTTTTTACTGGCACTGTTATTTCCTTGGTAAATAAGTAAAGTTTGAGCAAACCTTATTAATGGCAAAATTGGTGGTTGTGGTGGAAATGACACACATTCATAATGAAATCATTTTCATACATTAAATATTTCACTAACAATTTATTTCAGTTTATATTTAGATTATCTACGTTCTACTCCAATTGTTATAATGAATTTTCATAGTAAGATCTGGGACAAAAGTAAAACATTACAACATAAAATACATAAAATACTACAACGAAAATTAGCAAAAATAAATGAGCAAGGAAGGCCAAAAAGTTCCCCACACAGTTTTAATGCGACTTTCATTTAACAACAGGGGTAAGCTGAGGTATAAAAGTGACCGAATAGCCCGAAGTTCAAGAAATACACAACATAAGCAATATAATAAAAGTATAATTAGTTTAAAAAAATCAATTAACATTAAAGCAATGTTCCTTTATAACCAAGAAAACTATGTTTGCGTTTAATGAATCATGCTTTTGCCTACATACCTGTGCTGCTGTCCGCGAGGAGCTGAAATCTCTGAGCTCGCGAGTGCAGCAGAGCAGGTGCGCGTGTGCGTCTGTGTCTGAAGCCTCCAGTGAGACAACACTTCTGCCTACGGTTGGGTCCTAGTGCCCGCCGGAGCAGGTCTATGCAGTATTGTATTGGGACACTTTTTGCCATTGAGATGACTGGGGGAAAATGTCACAATTATCCTGAATTAACCCTATATACAATTTGTGTGACTCGCTCCAACCACGCCCCATCACTCTCTCTCTCTTTAATGCTTTTGTTATAATAGCCTAATTGTCTCATTTTATTAAACACATTATTAATTATAATCACTTAAAGGTGAGTTCACCGAAAAAAGTCATTAATCACTCACCCTCATGTCGTTCCAAACCCGTAAGACTTTTGTTCATCTTTAGAACACAAATGATGATCTTTTTTTGATGAAATCTGAAGATTTCTGTCCCTCCATAGAGACAGCTACGCACTACCACTGTGACGCTTCAAACAGTTCATTAAGAGATTGTAAAACTAATCCATATGAATTGAGCGGTTTAGACCTAATTTTCTGAAGAGACTCGATCGCTTTATATGATGAACAGATTGAATTTAGGCTTTTATTCACATAATAAACATTCATCAACGCACACATCAGTTGAGGTAAATGGAAGCTCAAGCAGGTTCGCTTGACATGCGAGAACCAATGAGGTTCATTCTCGTGTTTTACGCAGCACGTTTGAGCTTCAGCAAGAACCAATGAGGTTCATTCTCGTGTTACGCGCAGGTTTGAGCTTCACCAAGAACCAATGAGGTTCATTCTCGTGTTTTACGCAGCACGTTTGAGCTTCAGCAAGAACCAATGAGGTTCATTCTCGTGTTTTACGCAGCACGTTTGAGCTTCAGCAAGAACCAATGAGGTTCATTCTCGTGTTTTACGCAGCACGTTTGAGCTTCAGCAAGAACCAATGAGGTTCATTCTCGTGTTACGCGCACGTTTGAGCTTCACCAAGAACCAATGAGGTTCATTCTCGTGTTTTACGCAGCACGTTTGAGCTTCAGCAAGAACCAATGAGGTTCATTCTCGTGTTACGCAGCACGTTTGAGCTTCAGCATGAGGTTTGTTCTCGCGCGTCAAGCAGGTTTGGTTGAGCTTCTGTTTATTTCCACTGACCAATGTTTAAATGTGAATAAAAGCTTAAATTAAATATGTTTATAAGCAATAAGTCTCTTCAGAAAATTTGGACTAAACCGCTCAGTTCATTGTTTTACGATCTCTTTATAAACTTTTTGAAGTGTCAAAGTGGTAGTTGTGTCTGGGAGAGAAAGCTCTCAGATTTCATCAAAAAGATCTTCATTTGTGTTCCGAAGATAAACAAAAGTCTTACGGGTTTGAAACAGCATGAGGGTTAGTCATTAATGACAGAATTTTCATTTTTGGGTAAACTAACCCTTTAATGGCATCATTAAGTTTCTATGCATCAGTCTAAATTTGTAAAAAACAAAAAAACAAAGAAAACACAAACAAACAAAATTTCAGGTCATCAAATTTTTGTTTATTGATTGACCAGGCTCTCTTTACCTGTCATATAAAAAAAAAACAGATACACAGAGGAAATTCTGCACAGACGCAATGATAATTTTAAAAGAAATTATTTTGAAACTTTCCTGGGTCACGGGTGCTGAAGATGCACTGCAGACTCCTGTCAGAGTTATTTAGAATTTTTTTTTAAAGTGATTTTTTTAGCATTTGCAAGCCTAGCAGCTCTCTCATTGCTTGGGGTATTCAAAGGTTAAAAAATAATGAAAGCGGCGCTCAAAAACTCACATTCACAGTGAGACAATGTGACACAAGTGTCACTAAAAGTATCGACAAACAAATCCAGCTTTACAACAAAAAAACAAAACAAAAAAAATTGCAATTGGGGGAAGAAAAAGCACAATGGGAAATACAAACAAATGAGACAAAAGAAACACAACATAAATATTCTTCTGTTTACGGGTACATGTGTGTGACTGCGACAGCCAGGCAGCCTAATTAAAAACCTGCATCATGAAATATCAAAGATCAACACAAGCTCCGCCCACTAGAGAGCAGACAGAGAGGGTGATGACCACATGAGAGTCCAGAACCACAGAACAAAACAAAAAAAATGAAGAAATGCAGCTGCCGGGGTAGTGCAGTAACAGGAAGTCCATGATGGAGGTATGGGGCCATGAAGAGGTGAGAGGTCAGAGGTTCATTCATTTGTAAAGCCTCAGAATGGATGTTCGGAGACAAATATTGTGAGGCGGATGATTGAACTGCCTCGGAAGTTGATGACGTTATTAACGGTAACCATCTCTAGGTCTAGAACGATGGTCTTTGGTCCTTTAATGGGCCGGGACAGAACCAAAGTTGCACTGATATTACTGGTTTGCTGTGGTGGAGAGAAAGAAAAGTTAATAAGAAAAGTATTTTTGGTCACACTAGTTTAGGGTCCAATTCTCACTATGAATTACTATTAACAATGACTTAACATTTACTGCTTATTAATAGTTAGTAAGGTAGTTGTTAAGTTTAGGTATTGGGTAGGATTAAGGGATGTAGAATGCAGAATAAGGCATTAACATGTACTTTATACGTACTAATAAACAGCCAACATCCTAGTAATATGCATGCTAATAAGCTTCTCGTTAATAGTGAGAATTGGTCCCTAAACTAAAGTGTTACAGTATTTTTATTTCATTTCACAGCACAGGTGTTGAAATGACAATAAATACTTCATGTTTTATAAATGAATGCTGATTTTGACAAGATTTCATCAGCTTATTCATTAAGGGACACACATAGGACCAATAAAGACTTTGTGGTTTGGCTCCAGAGTAATTTTGACAGAAGGTTTCCACAGAAATCCTACAGCTCCCTCTACTGGTCACCTTTATATATACGCTATTCTTCAAAAGTTTAGGGTTGGTAATTTTTTTTTACGGTTTTTGACAGAACTGGTCTCTTACGCTCACCAAGGCTGCGTTCAATTGATCAGAAACACAGTAAAAACACAGTAATATTGTGAAATATTCTTACAATTTAAAATAAGCTGAATTCTAAGCACCAGTCTTCAGTGTCACATGATCCTTCAGAAATCATTCTAATGTGCTGATTTGCTACGCAAGAAACATTTTCTATAACCAGTGGTGAAAACCGTTGTCCTTCTTAATATTTAACCCAGATACATTTTATTTCAGGATTTTGTAATGAATAGAAAGTATTTTAGAAAGTTTTTAGAATGGTGGGGAAATTTTGTAACATCATAAATGTCTTTAAAGCATTCTTGCCAAATATAAGCTTTTTTTTTTTTAACTGACCCCAAACTTTTGAATGGTAGAGTAAGTGTTTTACAACAGGCATCAGATATACAGACAGAAGCCCACTCACTCACCCGCATGTAAAACTCTCGCCCCTCGTTGCCAGACTTGATCTGAAAGATGTAAAATGCTCCAGGGTAACGTGTGGTGGCCTGCATCTGAAATATATCAGCAGGAACACTGCGGCCAGAAGACAAATCCATATGCCTGTACAGGATAGTAAAGGGTCTTTCCCGACATGCGGGATTCTCTGCAGAACACATGCACTGACTAAGAGAGAAAGAGAAATGTAACAACATGTTGCATCTGTTCAACAATAAACCAACAAGTCAAATGACTGACTTCATGTTTTGATTACAGCAAACAAGTTGTCTATCATCAGCATTCATAAACTCACTTGTCACTGAGCTCTATGTAAGGTCGATCACATCTAAGAGGGTCCAGACATGTGTAACCTCCCTGGAAATTGAAACACACTTGTGCTGTTGTACAGGTGTTGTTACCAGACTCACATTCATTGAGATCTTCAAAATCAAACACACAACAGAGTCAGGTTATCATCATTATCAGCAGCAACAATAACAACAAAACCATCAATGTAAAGGAAGTTAAATTGTGCAGTAGATACAAAATACTCTTGTGTGCATTGTCCAAAAGTAACTTGCTAATACCAAACACACACATACTATATACTGTGTGTGTGTGTGTGTGTCCTAAATTGAGGTCCTCATGAGGAAAACAGCTTAAAAATCATACTAAGTGATGGTTTTTTTTTTATGTAAAAATGCAGAAAGTTTCCTGTGATGGGTAGATAGATAGAATATACAGTTTGTACAGTATAAAAACCAATACGCCTATGGAGAGTCCCCTCAAAGATAGTGAACCAGACCTGTGTGTATGACATATTTTCATTTTTTTGGTTTAATGTGAGAAATATTTCCCCGAGTGCATCTAGAAGGCGAAAGAAACATTTATACAAATATGCACTAGAGAAGAAGCACATAATATAAAAATTTACTGTTACCTTCACAGCTCCTTCCATCCTCATACACATAATATCCAGAAGGACACACGCAGGAGAATGATCCTGGCGTGTTCACACACACGTGCTGACAAAGGAAGTCTGAGAAACTGCACTCGTCCAGATCTGAGAACAATGTATTGATGAAGGTAAACACATTACACACTGTCAAAGCACAAACTCACACATACAAGTACAGGCAACACGCATCTTAAACCTATCTCTAAAACCTCTAAACCGGACAGTCCTGTTTTCTGTCCCCTATCTTCCTCCTTTCCAATCATCTCTTCTCCTCCCCTGTTTACCGTTGCAGGTGGTCCCATCAGAGGCGAGCTCGAAGCCCTCGTCACAGGTGCACATGAATGAGCCGTATGTGTTCAAACAGCCGTGAGAGCATGGGGTTGTCTCACACTCGTCCACATCTGGCGAGAGAGGAAAAGGAAGAAGAAAGAATGAAGGAAGGATGGAAGAAGATTACTTTAAGCTAAACTGTGATGATTGAGTATGTTAATGTGTATGTGTGCACCTTGGCATGTCCTGCTATCTGTATTAAGGAGGAATCCCGGACTACAGGAGCAGGAATATGAGCCAGGGATGTTAGCGCACAGCTGCTGGCAGTAACCATAGCGACACTCATCAATGTCTAAAGAAAGGTGAGTTAGAGAGCACTAAATACACAAAACAATTGTCACAAC